GCTTTCTATGGTTATGAGTGGAAAAAGCTCTTTCGAAGTGAATGGCGGAAAGCGCAGATGTTTTCCATATCTCTGCGTGATGAATATTTCAATTTAGTAAAATTTGTCAGCAATGAATATTTTCTAGTCTTTTTCGCGTATATTAAGCTTCTAATTTTTTCTAATGAATATTTCCTAATCTTTCTCGCGTATATTAAGTACTTTTTTTTATTTTATTGAAAATAAAGAATTTTTTTTTTTTGTAGAAAATTTAAATACAAAATTTGATTTAAACATTTCTATTTTATCTCTGCAATTTTTTAATTTTTATAATATTTTATTATTATATTCTTTTTAAGTGAGAGCCAGACGCGGTAAGTAAAGTGAACATTCTTTTTGTTTAGTGTGATTTTATTGATAGTTCAGTTTCGTACCTTTCAGTCTCTGATTTGGGGACCATCATATTAATTTACATATTACTTGCTGATGATGACTCAAATCAGAGACCAAAATATACGAAACTGAACTGTCAATTAAATCACATTAAAAAGAAAAAATTTGCGCTTTATTTACCGCGTCTGTGTCTTACTTAACTCGATTCTCTACAATTATTTGCTTTATATTCCTTTTATTATGGGATATAACTTTATTTCTATTACATTCTGCTAAACTCGATTTCTTTTTTAAATTATTGTGCGTAATAATTATATATTTAAATTTACATATTATGAGCATCGAAATTGTAACCGGAACATTTGTACTTATTCTCTAATTTATTGTATGAGTTTAGTGAGCTATAAAATTTAGTTCATATAACGTTGATTAAAATATTATATTTTAATTCTCACTGAAACTGAGAACTTCGTTCATTACCGCTCATCGGAATTTTGTTTTTATCGATCAAATTGTATTGCAACATTGCGAATTATCGCAACTGGAAACAAAATAAATCTTATTATGCACCGCCATATTATCGTACATTAACGTAATTACGATGCTAATTATGATGTCTCGTAATTCGAGTATTCCATATCAAAATAAACTAAATCGAAATTATTGTGAGAGATTCATTGTCATCTAAAAATAATAATTAATATGTGTGTGTGTGTGTGTGTGTGTGTGTGTGCGTGTGCGTGTGTGTGTGTGTCATAATATAAATATATTTAAGTTTTTTTGTATTATTATTTATTTAGTTTTATATTATATATATACAAGGTGTCTTTCACAGAACTGTTGCGCGCGTACTATCTACTAACGATAAATTCTTAAAATATTCTGATCCACAGCTTTAAAATTTTATTTTTGGAGTCAACTGCATTAATATATTATATAATAAAATATAAATATACTCAGCGTTCGACATTCTTTCAAATTTCGGAGTTAAATATTGGATATCTTATTTAAAAAACTTAAGGTAATTTAAATATTTTGATAAAAAAAACAAAATAGCGAAAAACTGATTACTGTACTATATATTCCTCTTGATATTATGAGACTTTTGTTTAAAACATTTTTTCATACAATATAAACAAGGTTTACGAGTAATTTAAGGTGATCACAAATTAGATGATTTACTCTGTATAATAATGTTACAGTAACATTGTTATATTACTGGATTATCAAATATTAAATTTTAATAATTTTTTAATGTTTATTAAGAAAAATTCAAGTTATCATACAAGAGATACTGATTTAATATGCATCTTGCTGCTTTGTAAGGCATATAAAGTGCAAACAATTTTAATTTTTTATAACATAGGATATGATATTTTGAATTTATTAAATTATAAAATTCAACATATATCTTTTTTCTTCTTTTCTTATTAAATTGGTTTAACTTTTATCTTGAGGAAATGTGATAACTTTCCGTAAGTTTAAATGATGTAATTTGACTAAATGGTCCAATATATATATATATA